CTGCCGTAGTTTATGAGCATTATACTTGGAGGGTAAAAGAATATGGATAGAGGCTTCGGAGGTTTAACCTTTATATTTCATTTCTTTTCAAATCATCTATATTATATTATGTGGTACGTTCAAGTTGACCAATGATGTCTAATCGTGTGTACTATTTGTACAGTTACTACTTTTGCAATGCAACCTGACATAGTCTGGTTGTAGGGTCAATTATGTTTCATAGGTGAAGATGGTGGTCATATCCAACAACTTTCGTTTTTTCGTTCTTTATACTGGGAATCGTGTCTCATTTTCATGTAGCGATTATACTCTTTTAGTAGCTCTTTTACGTCTTAACATAGTTTACTGGGAGATTTTTGGTTATTTTTAAAAGGTTTTCATTACAGTTCATGTTTTCATAATTCCTTAAGGCATTAAAGGAGTTTCACATTACTTGTTAATTTTCACACTGCCCATTTTTAAAAATTAGGTGGTACATGTGTTAGAATAGGTGTCAGCATGGCCCACTGGGTTGGATCATGATTTCTATTCGTTGAACTTTGCCTACAAATTGTAAGACCTAGTTGTGGTGATGGTCACGAAAAACTATTTCAATGTCATCAAAATTTGAAGACGGATCCATCACCAAAGGAATCTATTCTTTTCTTTCCAAATTGTTGAAAGGTAAAAGGGTAAAAAAGTAGTTGGGATGTCGAAGCCATTAATAAACGTCCACATTTAAATACTCTAAATCGATTAAAGCATTAAAGTAATATTTAACCATGAAGGCTCCTGAAAAAGTTAGACCACACACAATATGATCATGAATTAGGAGACCAAGGAAGATATACATTAGTCATTTGCATTGGCACAACAATAAAAAGCTCAAAGGATAGAGAAAAGAGATTCTATAATGATCAATCTTAGTAGACATATTTTGACAATTTTAGAGGCTTCAATGAATTAGAGATTTTAAAGCAACTGAAAGCCTCATAAGCTAATAAATTTAGTACTTAAGTATAAATTGACATCTCAAAGATTTTATCATACATTAATTCATAACAAGAAAGGCACCAAAACAAAAAGGTCAAAATCATAAGTTTTCAAAGCCATAATGAGTACTAGATCTTCAAACCAATCAACTTTAAATGAGACATAAGAAATTATGTGTACTAGGTTGGTCGAAATTAAAGCCATACACTCTTCAAATCCCGCATTTTGCATAAAGGACAACTGATATTGATCTTCAACCACTTCCAGATGCAATAACAGTGAAATTCATGACCACAACTAAGCTTTCCAAGTTCTATCCCATATTCATAAGTATCCTACACTCATCCAAACATGAAATAATATAATAGAATCAGGTTGTGAACATGTTCATAAGTAGCCAAAGTTTTGTGCTCCTTACCAAGCATATGCAACATGAATCATTGTTATCATTCCTCTCTCTTAGTTGATACTTGCGCGCCATTATAAGTGTAGAAATCCTCATCTCAATCATGCATTCAGCTTGTAAAATTGACTAAAACACAAACCATCCATAATTTGAGAAAACATTAGATCATTTATTATAATCGTATCACGTGTTAATGCATTATGTTTTGATACATTACCTCAGAAAACATAGTCTCCAACAAAGGATTAGTATTGGCAGGTTCATCATTTTCATCATCCTGTCATTTTGAACTCTCAGTAATAATAGTCTCAGTTCTCTTACCATCTTAACCACAAACTTTGAGAAAGGTATATAGGAAAAGAAGATTCTACATTTCACTGTGCTATATAAAACAAATAGTATGTCCAGCATATAAAGATTACTAGATTGATGTTCTCTAAAATACGACAGTCAACTCATATCCTAAATATACAAAGCTCAATCCTCTTATCTTGTGAGAAAGGGTAGTGCAGTGTTGATATTTTTCCTTACCGAAAGAGTGGGAAATTAGGAAAATAAGGAAGAACTAATGTATCTTGTGACAAAGAGTTGGAATTAATGACACACACCTTGATGTTTAGTCTTCCAGTATTGTCTCTACGTTTTTCAAAAAGTCTTTTAAAATTCTATAATACATGTATCTAAGTATTTGTGCAAGAACTTTTGTTTTATTTTTTTATTGGTATAAATAAAGATGTAACTGATGATTTTAATCATCTCAAGAGGTAATAAGTTGCCTATATAATACTTGAACATTCTGTAAACAAAGTACCTTCCTATACTTCCTACAAATTTGTATCAGAGCAGTTTTTCGTTTTTAATTTACGGTTAGGTGAAGAAAAAAATATGACGTCAAAAAAATGAAGGGGTTGATTCATCAGTTGTTCTTACTCCATTTTTTTATGGTAATATCTTTGAATACTGGAAGATAAGAATGAGAACACATCTGAAAGTTGAAGGTTTGTGGACTATTGTTACAAATGACTATGAAGAGCCAAAAACAATGGTAAACATTCCGTAGTAGGCATGAAAAATATTCGAGGTTAAGTATTGTCGACATGCAAAAGCCTTGAGAAAAATTAAAATATGACTCTCAAGATCATATTTTATAAAGATTGTTACTTGTGACACTGCAAAGTAAGATTGGGAGTCTCTGAAAATTGAGGTGAATGGTGAAGAAAAGATATGCACTATTAATATTTAAACTCCCAGAGTGTATCAAAATTTAAAGATGATAGAATTTGAAAATAAATATTGCACAAGAGCCATCAATATTGTCAATGAAATGAGAAATCATGGTGATACTATTTTTTACTAACAAGCTGTAGAAAAGATTATAATTAGTTTTACAGAAAAGTGTGAGTACATTGTTTCTATCACTGATGAGACGAAAGATCTTTCTAAGCTTTCCATTGAAAAGAGAGTAGGATCATTTCTTTTCAAATGAAAAGAGAAGATTTTTTCATGAAGATCAACCCAAGGAGATAGATTTCCAGTCTAGAACCCATGAGTATACCCTAATTTTCTCAAAAAAATCAACAAAAGAAAATTACAATCTAAAAAAAACAGGATCATGATGGTTCTTCTAAGAAGGTTGAAGAAAAAGATGATAAACGTTCTAGTATTTTTTATAAAATTTGCAAAATTGACTGATCACAATGCAGACTAATATTGGAAGAAAGGCAAGCCTCAATGTAACTTTTGTAAACATTTTGGCCACATTGAGAAGGATTGCTAGAACAAGCAATGAAAGAAAACATTTTTTTGTGAAGAATATGAGGAAAAAATGGAAGAAAACCTTTTTTAAAAGCGTTGTAGTAATCACATTACTGGAGATAAAAAAGATTTTCTCTCAATTAATAGTATCATCGCTAATAAAGTGAGAATAGGGATAGAGGAGCCTTAGTGTTGGTCGACTCATGGAAAAAGGTTATTCTCTTGTGTTTAGAGATACTTATTGTAAAGTTTCTGATAAAATTAAGCCAAATCAAGTTATTGTTGAAGTAGAGATGATAAAAAGAAATTTTTTTGTGCAATTTCAATAAAATGCATTAAAAATAAAGTTGAAGATGATTCATGGCTTTGGCACAAAAGATTTGGTTACTTAAATTGCCAGAAGCTTCTCAAGCAAAAAGTCATGGTGTAAAGCCTTTATAAGATACATACTAAGAATAAGATAGAGAAGACTTCTATCATATCTTTAGACATGTCAAATAAAGAAATCATACTAGATAAAGTGTGCATAATACTGACCTCTATTACAATGGGATCGTCTCTGTGACTGCCAGCCTACATGTCAACTTCAATAGATAAGACATATATAATAATAAGGAAAATGTAAATAATACTAAAAGAAATTATTAATATTCAAATACAATCTACAAAAATGCATATTTGTTTTGGAAGGTCATCTTAAGAACATAGACTCACTTTTAAACAGTAACACAACTAAAACATTACACACCAAGCTCCATAAGTTCAAGTGCCATTGTAGAATAAATTATAATGTTCACTAATCAGAAAAATATAATGAATAATAACCAAAAATTAGTGATTCACAATAGCACTTGTACAAATAGCACTAATATTATCTTTTACATTATATTAATTTTGAATTGTCGATCAAAAGGTACTTATGCTAGAATTATATGTATTCTCACTAGAGCATCGCAACAATTAACAGGAAAAAAATCATAGATAAGTAATTGTGTGATATTAACATCTTCAATATACCAAATGTGTACTAACAAAAGAATTTATACATATAAAAAAGGTGTGAACTTAGAAACACTAAAGCAAAATATATGGATCTAATAGTATTGAATCAACATGTAATCTGAACTTGAAAATATAGGGTCAAACAAGCAAGTACACAAAAAAAATGAAAACATCAAGTTGTATCTTATCAAAGTATCATAACATTTTTATGAGAATACCTTTTCAAGAAAATGACAAGAAGATCTATCAATATGATTTCATTACAAAAAAAAAGGTGCCTCAAATAATTGAATATGTGAATCAAAACTTCTATCAATAGAAGAAAATTTATAAAAAAAATATGTTGATGTACCAAGCATATGGATAGTTTAGATTCAAGTAAGCTGGCGTAGAAATCAATGCTATAAAAAAGTGAAAGAAATCCAAAAATCATCTATTTATCAAAAGGAAATTTCTATCATAAGTAAAATATTAAGACAAAAACAGTCAAAAAATTTTGATGTCATTGATAGTCCATCACTTTCCCCCAAATGCACTGAATTCTTGTGCAAAAACAATTAAACAAGAAAGGTAAATGAAAACTCAAGAAACTTGGTGCTAATAAATAATCCTAATAACCACCAAAATTGTTAGTTTGGAAACAAAAAATAGAACAAAATTGAGATTGCATACAATTCCTAGCTTCTCATTTTCAAAAAGTGAATTCAAGATCTCGGGTCTAAACTTCTCAAATTGAAAATTAACTAAATACATACATTTGGTTTATGCATCTTCAATCTCAAATACTTATTCTCAGACCAAAAAATCTCAAAAAAAGAGGGAAAATTAGGACTCACCATTTTCACAAGAAAGCAAAAATAGAGAAATCTTTGTGATGCAAGGAAAAAGAGCAGTCAAAGGGGGTCAATGTTCAATATATACTAATAGAATTGATTGCAACAACTTTATCTTCAAATTAGGGTAGAAGGTAATTGATTATTCCCAATATTTTAATTTATTGGTCTTAATTTCATTTTAAAGTTTTTTTTTCAAAAAAGAAAGGATGCCTTGACCCAAATATCAGGGTCATGATGGCACCTACTAAAACCCTTGAATAGGTAATCTTAACACTTACCCCAAAATCAACGATAACGAGCATAGGGAATAGGCGAGATAGAAAGAAACAAAATACAATAAATCTATATATATATATATATATATATATATATATATATATATATACACATACATACATATATATATATATATGTATATATTTATATATATATATGTACATATATACCCCTTTTTTATACAATAGTATCCATGTTTTATATTTCGCAATCATTTGGCTATCAATTCCGATCAGTCATCATTTGGCTATCAATCCCGATCAGTCTCATCATATTTATGCATGCTATCACTATTAGGCTTGAATTATGTGGAATCAGACCATGACATCGACTCACCATGCACTAACACCTATCCTCTTCAATTTCTCACCGAGGTGCTAATATTTCCTGTATTGCAACTAGTGTCCTCACTTCAAAACAATATCCTCATTTTTCACACAATGATTTCAGTTTTAGCATAAGGATTACTTTTTAACACCCACTCTCAGAACAAATTCAAACTCATTCATACATATTGCCATAAGCTTGCCCTTATTTTCATTGCTTTAAGTTCGCTATACAACTCTTAGGATCACGATAGGACTTTCTTAGCTTGTAACATAGGCTCAGGGTCAGGTAGGGTATATTTAGATATAGTTTAGTGACTTTTTGCCCTCCTTGACATATCGGCTAAACATACCACTTTTTATCATTTTACTTCACCCAGTTTCTCATATTCGTCCACCTTGCTATTTTCCCTTCTTTCTTCATTTGTGTAAGTGACTCTCTTCTTTTCTTGCTTATATTTCTTGTATTTTTTTATTATTATTATTTTTCATTTTTTATTTTTTTCACTTTTCTTTCAACTGATTCTTGAGTCACTTTACTTTTGTTCTTACTCTCTCTTTGTTCTTTCGACCCCACTTTCCAGAGAATTCCTCATAATAACCACCCTCAACTAATGTTTTACCATGAGTCAAAGTACACAATACCCAAAGTTGGGTCAAGGCCATAAAAAGGGTTGTTTACTTCATTAGCCACTCTCAACTTATGCTTTTGGCATAAGCTGAGGTTCGCATGTCCAAGGAGGGACCAGGGCCAACACATTATTCTCATAAAAGATCAGTTGGGGTGAAAAAGAAAGGTCTAGTTTAAGTTCAAATCATTTGGATCAAAAAAGGATTAATTTCATTTGGTTTTCTTTTATTTAGGCTAAAAATGGGCTATATTGAACAAGGGCCTATGATCCTTTCCTAATTGTCTATTACGGCTTACTTTTAGCAGGACTAACCAGGAAAGTTCTAGCTCAGTACAAATAGTGGACTATTCAAATCTTCATCACACTCATTTGACATCTTATTACTCTACCAGATTATCAGACACCTAGTTCAAATTTTAGACTTAGGATCATGCAGAGGTGCACCTCTATGTCATGCTTAGAGCCATACATTTATCAATTACTATGCCTAGTCATGCATCATTTTCATTTTATCAGGATATCATTTTAGCCATCATGCTTCAGAGTTAAACTATGTACACAATATATAGACATACCGGTTCAACAGAAAAAAATAATCAGTCTCTTGGGGGGAAAAGAACACAGGCACGAAAACCCCAAAAGAGGATAGTGAATCGGGCTACTCAGACTTCACCCTACCACTCACTTTACATTTACCCCACCCCCAACAAAAATACATGCAATTGTCCCAAATGCATAAAAATTTGAAATACAAGAGTGGTAGGTAAAGCAAACCTCAGGCGCAAAGCGCCGACGATCAACAAGTTGGTGTGTCCGGTTCCCCGGAACCGACTACCCCTGTAATATGGACACCCTTAGTAGTTTCCACAACATCAACAACACTATCAGTAATGCCTCCCACTATTTCCAAATTTCTGGAGCTAGATTCCCCAGAAGCTAACTCTACTTCCCTCATCTGACGCGCCTCCTCATCAGCAAGTAAGGCTTTCCTCGCAGCCTCCATCTCACGACGCTCCTTATTCCGTGCTTGAGGGGGAGGTGGTGGAATCTCAGAAGTGGCAAATAAGGTCGCCATCACTGTGTCTTCAGCAGGCTCTGCAGAAGGTCCCTCGGACTCAGGCACCCTAGCCTCTAGGATCATATCGAAGTCCTCGTGAAGGTCAGGCTAGCCTCTTGATAGATCCCTTCGGCTCGGTCACCCAGTCAGCACCCTCTCCATCAACAGACAAGTGCAGGGCCATCCACTTCTTGGTGGTCTCTCTCAGCAATGGCTCACGCAGGAATTCGCTATCTTTGACAATTTGCCACCGGTAGTCAAACTCGACGGTGAGAGGGGTCCGGTTGGTATCAACATGATTGCCGTATAGATAATGGCGGATGGCAGGAAGGGAGATATCAACCTGAATGCCACGTACTCGGACATGCTCCAGTGGGGCCTGTTTGGCGGGGGCAGCCCGCCTATCAATCGGTGATCAGAGAGTATCCACGTAAGAGGCGTAGAACTCTCTGACCAACTCTTCACTATAATATTCTAACAAACGTGTTGTCCACTCCAGTCGATGTCGAGTGAAAATATTGTGGATCTCTGGCATAGTCAGGAGATTTCCCGTAAGGACCCTCCGCTCCAATGTAAGTGTCCGTGTCATGACTCCTTTGTCATTAAGGAACTTTACGTCCAAATAGACTTGATACTGCCCGTCGACACACCACCGATTGGGATGGTCGGCAACTAAGGTAAGAGCATGAGTCAGTGAATCGGGTATGGATTCGGAACTGTCAGCTTCATCAGACGAGGTAGACTGTGCAGCAGTGGCGGGTGTAGGGACCTCAGTAGATTTGAAGGCTTTCCCTGACCACGGAACTCCTAAGGAGCCAGACGCTCGTTCTTTATTAGTAGCTGACCCAGAAGGTGTACCTGTCAGAGGGCTCCTCATCAAACTAGGAGGTAGTGACTACGCTAGACGCCACCTTTTTGGGTGTGGCTCTGGCAGCACATGCAGCTAGGGATGGAGTGGAAGTCTCTGGGGGCACGTACGCGGGGTCACGCTCATCATCAGAGCCAATGACTAGGCACACAGATGGGGCGACAGACTTCGATCGCCCGCGTGCGTAGACTCGATCTTGTTTTGGTGCCATAATAGATAGTACCTGTAAAGAATCATTATTAGTACTAGAAAGAGCAAACAAGACAACCAAAACGACACAAAATAAATAAAAGAGTTAAGATGTAATGACATTTCTATAGTAATAGTGAAACACGACGGACCAGGTGACGGCTCGTTGTGAGTAGGATGGATCGTCATGGGTTCCGTCATGTCTTACTTAAACTGTATTTATGTGGAGAACCCTGAAGGAAAGTCTCTAACAAGTATGACGGTATATGCAGGATCGACCGTTGTGATTATGGGTCTGTCATTGATGTCCGTCGTGGGACACTTATAAAAAAAATGGGGACCCTTAGGAGAGAGGTCTCTGACAATCATGACGGTGTATGCAGGACG